GGAATCTGGATTTGGTTTTTCGCTCACCCTTGACCTCGCGATTTCCCATCTCGGATATGGTGTATGAATGTACGGATGAATGAATGGATGTCATGTTTGGAATGTTTGTCCTCCTATCGRATCCCYRCCTTTGCCTTTGTTTACTGCCTTTGATGCACTCATGAGYAGGATAGGAATTTTGTGCAATCGGTAATCCTGTCCTCGTTTTTGCTTATCTTTTGATCGAGCTGTTGTGGTTGTTGCATCTTGCACACTCAAAAATTACGGAGTGATGAGACAATCGAATGTCTGACCCAGCGAACGCCGYGCGAGAACGMGTGTAAATGTGATCTKATCTGCGCATTTAYACGTGSCCCCGTGCGCCGATTCGTCAAATTCAAAAGAGACCATTGATTGTAGAAGTACAGTCTGATCGGGCACGGCCATCCYGGATCTGCGASGGAGCRGTCATCCCGTGCGAACACGTGTAAGCGCGACTTGATTCGCGTTGCCTGCACGTGCTCGCACACGGTGATCGCAACCGATACAGACCCGCTCGTAGGCATCTCGCAGCTCTACGATGACATAATGACACACTCCGAGAGTTCGGAGTCGTTGTTGTACGACCTGGACTATTTCACCCCTTGGATAGCAGAAAGCCTCCGACAGAGATACCCTTGTCTGACCGAGAATCGATTGTGTCCTAGGGAGTTTCACTGCGCCACCACTAGCGATCCCCAGTGCTCTCATTTCTCCACTCAGGACCACACCCACTACTTCACCCACCCCGACTTTGTCGTTATCTCCACCAGTTTCCCTCCCTTCCGTCTTCTTYTTCCATATCACCAACTCAKSGTCGTCCCGTGGAAGGCCATAGCCCCATATTGGCCCAGYGCGCCCTGCGGAAATTGCCGACGACGCGGCGATCAGAGGAYCCCGRAACTCYGGAGGCCTAACCCAAAYGYRMGACGAMYGGCATCACGTGGCAACTTCCAACGACCTGACTCATCGGAACCCCACCCACCCCGGAGGGACCTTCCCGCGAACCGCCGTCCTCGACACCAATCGCTCGCCCGACCTTGAATGACCCGCGCATACCACCTGTTCTATATCCAGGGGCGGTCCGCTCTCTCTCCGCCAAATTGCACTCGTGCCCCCGAAAAACTCTGCCACAGGAGATCTCAGTTCTGACCTGAGACTCCACCCCCACTTTCCCAAAAATCCTTGGCACACCCCTTTTCGCACTTCCAGGCCCACATCCTACTCCGATCAGGAAGTCGCACTGGGTGTGATGTTGGTATCGGAGCCCGACATGTGGCCAGGTTTTAGGATTAATAGCACGCTAATTGGGCGATCTGGCTAACCGAGGTCGACCTCGACCCTGGAACGCGCATAGACGCGACCCCGTCATCACCCGAAGTAAATCGGCTAATCGACGGGCAGCCAACATAAACGCTAATGCACAGAATCCGAATCCGCAGCAGAATGCTAATCAACCAAATCCTAATCAACCCGCCCCACGAGCACGGGCTCCCATGACGCCACCTGATCGCAATCTATTTGACCCTGCACATCATCTTGCAGGAGCATGGTTGGCTACGCTCCGAGCACAACAATATTACGATAATGAAGCTCAGGTAAACATTCCCGCTCGATTAGGAGAAGACGCTCATCACTGGTTTAGTACCTATGTATGGGTAGATCTTCCGACCTTCGAACGAGATTTTCTGAATCAATTTGATTATGTCCACCCAGAGCAAGCACTCTACATGATCAAAGACCGGGTGCAAAAACCTCTCGAGTCTATCGCACAGTATTGAAATCGGTTCTACCGAATGTTTGTGAAAACTGAGCGAGGTGAGCAAGTCGGGAGAGATTTGTTTATTGATGGGCTTCGCAGTCGAACGATAAGGGCAAAGCTGCGAAAGCAATTTTCCCCCATCAATCACACGTTGCAACAGATCATGGCCGCTGCAGAAGAGATGAAACGAAAATTTGCGGCGAACTTCCTGGAAGGAGAATACTATCCTAAGGAAGGAATTTCGTTCGAACTCGCTAGGGCAAGAGCTGAGTTGGCCGCGTTGCAGAACAAGTTCGAGAATATGAGATTTGTATCTGGCCCGATCACCTATCTGGAACAGATAGCCCCTAAACAACCCGCCCCGAGTGTAATCACGAGTGTCCCTATTCCTGTGACACCGACACCTGTACTGACGGCACCCCCGCCACCAATTGAGAACCCTGTGAGGACAAATGAGTCCACTGCCATTTTTTTGCTGACCAAAACGTTAATTAGCCTAATCCAGGAAAGCAAAAATGAGCAGCGAGAGCATAACGCTCGGTTAGAAGCCATGATGAGAAACATGCGGCCCATCGCGGTGCGTGCCCCTCCGATCCAACAATGGCTAGCCCCGGTGCCCGCAATCGGAGGAGCCGCAGACAATCTGAACGTCTGTTATGCATGCCATCAACCAGGGCATCTAGCCCGTGATTGCCCCCACCGGCCCTCGCAACAACGGGTTGGGGTCGCACCGCTGGCAACGACTCCCATCGTTAACGGACCTGGACGGGTAGGAGCCCTGATGGAAGAAGTGGAAGGTGTAGGAAATACGTTAGCAACCACGGAAGAGGCTGCTGAGCTCATTCCGTTAGATCAGTATGTATCGCTTGGTTATCCTGGGCTCTGAATGATTGGAACGATCAGACCGGCGTCGGAACAGAAAAAAGTGGCGGAATGACGACCTTCTCCAGGAGAGATGGAGTCGGGAGGACCCACCTTCGTCACTGGGGAAATCGATGTGCTAAACATCATCCGAGCTTTGGACCATCGGATCCCATTTCCGATCGGTCATCTGCTCTCGATCTTTGAACAAGCTAATGAGCGAATGCTACAACACTGTAAGGCGAACCGAAAACGATCCGCCCTCACCCGAATAACTAATGTGAAAGCTAAAAACTCCACGCCAGACGAAAACACGGCTGGCACGTCGGATCCAATACGGGTAGGACTAATACAGAAAGATGATCATTTCCTGCGGATTAAACCCATTCCGTGGAAATCTGCCATCGAAATATGGCAAATTCCGTACAATGCAATCATTGATTCGGGAGCTGCTGTTTTGGCTATCTCACTGCGAGTAGTTGAAAGGGCAGGTAGGAAAAACGATCTGATCATGCTTATAGAGAAGGACCAACTCGTTTTGGCAGACGAAGAAAAAAATTAAAACAGTGGGACGAATGACCAATGTTGCTTTTCGACTACGGAAGGTGCATGCGTTAAGAGACGTCGTGGTATTAGACGTAAATATCTACGACGTTCTTCTCGGTCTTCCTGCCCTTGTGGCATTACGAGCGAACTTGGATTTCGAACGACAGTCAATCATCCTCCGAAATACACGAGGAAAGCCCTATGCTGTACCAATGAAACTGCCTCTTCGTACTACCATCAACGCAGTCCCGCGAGTTTCGCTGATGATAGCAGGGACTCTTCGTATGATCACCTGGGAAGACTCCGCAGATGATGAGATGTCATCAAGGGATGCGGATAGCAGTGACGAAAATGATCCGGAAATTCTGAAGCTAGCACGACAACGTATTTATTACCCGCCGGCCAGAACGATCTCAAGAACGATGCATCTAACCATTCGGAACGTCCAAAGGACTAAGGCGATGATTTTGGGTGAACCCCTCGTATAGATTTCGAGGATGGTCGATTCCTTGGAACCCCCTCAAACCTTGTACGAAGGAATCTCCCCTCTCCTCGCCCGATACGACGACAAAAAGCACAAGTGCGATATCACAGATCTACCGAAGTCCGTATTGACACCCGCAAAAGAAGTACGGCTGCTACGCCTGGGGGCGGAAGCCAATTCTTTGGAACCCCCTGGGCATCTCGAGGCTGAATCAGACGAGCTCGGAGTAAAGATCACAACTAAAATCGTACCATGGCAAGATATCTGCGATGGGATCACCCCGGAAGGACACGTGGCCATCCGGGAGGAAGACGCCCAGATGATGGCCACGGTGTTCTCCTGGCGATCGGACCATTCATTTATCTCTGCGCCACCGCCCGATGTGGCGAAACAAGCACGCACGAAGCAGATCGACGTACGGATCTGGGACCAGCTTTTTGAGTTACACGTGCCACAGTACGTACCTGATGAAATTCATCGTTTGATTGCGGACATTCTGACGGAGTATCAGGGAGCGATTAGCGTAACGGACACTGACATCGGCTTGTCGTTGGTCATCCAACACGAAATCCAGACGGGAAATCATTCCCCCATCCACTGCAAGCCCTACCGATACTCCCTGATAGAACGGAAAAAGGCTCTCGAACGAATTCGGGAATTCGAAGCAAGCGGGTGCCAGTGGATTGAACCCACTACTGGACCGTGGTCGTTTCCAGTAGTATTAGTGCCGAAGAAAAACGGATCAATCCGCATATGCATCGATTATCGCAAACTAAATGAAATCACGATTAAAGATGTGTATCCCCTCCCCCGGATTGATGATTTGCTGGATGCGATTGGATGTGCTAATTATTTTAGTAAGTTTGATATTCGGCATGACTTTCATCACATTTTGGTTAAGGAGGAAGATCGGCTAAAGAAGGCCTGCGTGTTGTTTGAGGGCACGTGGCAGTGGGTTCGGTGTCCGATGGGGATTTGCAACGCGCCTGCCACGTTTCAGCGAGTGATGAACATGACGTTCCAGAACTTCGTCAACAAGACACGGCTAACTCAGGGAATGATCAACTTCTGCGTGATCGTATACATGGACGATATCCTTATCTACTCAGAGACCTATCACGGACATGCGCAACACATTGAGTGAACGTTGGGAGCACTGAGAGACGCTGGATTCAAGATCGCACTCTAGAAGAGCGAATTTTTCCTCTCGGAAATTTCGTTCCTGGGTTACGTCGTGACACGTGGAGGATTGCGGCCTGACTCGAGAAAGGTCGCGGCGGTGAGAGAAGCTCCAGTTCCCACGTCGCTGACGCAGGTTCGAGCCTTCTTGGGGTTGGCATCGTACTATCGCCGTTTCATCGAAGGCTTCGCCGCGATTGCACGGCCACTAACGAACCTGTTACGAAAGGACCAGCCTCTTAGTTGGGATGCGGAGTGTGAGCAGGCGTCCGCGACCCTCAAAGACGCTCTGGCGACGGGACCTATTTTGATCCGACTGGACCCCTCGAAACAGTTCATTCTTATCACGGACTGGCAACCGGAAGCTATTTCTGCTATTTTAGCGCAGAAGGGGAACGGTGGTCGTGAGCACGTCATCGAGTACGCGTCGCGGACGGTGCCAGACGAACGGAGGAGTGACTCAGCAACCCAAGGCGAATGCTATGTAGTAGTCTGGGGAATCCAACACTTCCATCTGTATCTCTACGGGCAGAAGTTCCGCCTTGTGACGGATCATGAGCCCCTGCGGCCTTGAAAAAGTTCACTAATTACACGGGCATGATTGGGCGTTGGGCGGTACGTTTACAGGAGTACGACTTCGACATCATCCACCGGAAGACAGAAAGACACGGCAACGCGGACGGACTGACACGTCTGCATCGGCCCGCTAAAGTACCTAAGGGCGAGGAAATCACTCCGTGGAAGGAGTCAGAACTGGAAGACGGGCCTAAGTACGGACAAGTGGCAGTTCTCCCACGTGGCAAGAAGCAGACCGGTGGCAATGGGTGACGAAGGTAACCTCATTACCCCTCTTTCTCCCATCCCCTCTTCATCTCTTCTCTCCCTGCCTGATAAATTTTGCTATTTTTGCGAAGCAATTTCTCGCGTATATTCAGTCTCCATGCGTCATAACGGGGAAGGGTATGTGGAATGGGTAGATTGTCGACAGTGTGTCGCACGAGCCCATGGCTCGTGCATCCAATATCAAAATGATAGTAAACCGTGGCTATGCCCCTTGTGTCGGGTTGACAAGATCCCAACCGAGGCTCGCTTTTTGGAGGCCACGTCAGAAGGATTGGAGAAGACCCGAAAGTTTAGAAGGGCCGAAGTATGGACCGACATCGCTTTGATTGCCACCTTAGTGGGTAACCCCCTCCAGGATTTCACCAAGGAAGATCAGAGGAGGGCTAATGAAAGGGCTCGGGATTACCGATGGATAAAGGGTAGGTTAGAAAAACGAAAAACGTACGGCAGTGGGATTTGGATGGTTGTACCGCATCCATTCATGAGGTACGACTGGGTGAAGACAACACACGAAGAAACGGCTGCCCATTTTGCCGTACGGATTACGGAGTTGGCCATCGACAAAAACGAACGGTATTGGTCCAATATTCGAGACCATGTGAAATTCATCGTCTCAAACTGTCAAGTCTACGCTGCTGACAAGGCTCCGATCCAGCCGCCAGGATCGATAGTACCAACGGTAGTTGAGCGGCCGTTCCAAAGGGTGAGTACCCCCTGGTCCTAATAGTTGTGAATATTCAGTCCTGTTGGTATTTGTCGACCACTTTTCGAAATGGATCGAGGCCTACCCATGTCGCACGCGATAAGCCGCCGAAATCGCGCGGTATGTTAACCGTTTTCTTGGGATGCACCAGGATAAGGAAGAAATCCTGACCGATAACGGGGCGGAATTCAGAGGGGAAGTATTAAGGAACCTGGTCATACACGTTGTCGCTGTGCGGAATACCGCGCCCCATATATCACAATCCAATGGGCTAGTAGAAAACGCAAATAGGGTGATAAAGACAGCGCTGCGACGAAACATCGCGGCACGGGATCCGAGGCCCTGGCCCGATATCGTCGACCACATCCTAGCGGTCGCAGAACGCCCCATGAATCGACGGGCCTGAGCCCCTTCCAATTAAGGACCAATAGCGTCGCTTGCGTTTCGATACCAAGCCTCCCTGACGAATCAACGCTCAACCGCCGGCCCACAAGGGCCACGGCATGGGACAAGGCCAAGTGGCACTTAGAGTTGATGGAGAGGTCCCTCCCCAGGCTAGCCCGAAAACGCCAGAAAATGACCGAGTTGGCCTACGGCCGACAGGTCCGAAGTTACAAGGCCCGGAACGGGAACGCAGGTCCACGGCCCCAGTACAAATTGGGGGACATCGTGCAGGTGAGGAAATGTGCTCGCCAGGGTAAGCTAGCGCCACGATTCTTCGGGCGATTCCACGTGATTGAGCTTGGACCGAACGGCGTGAACACCGTGCGGCTTGCACCTGAGGTCTCCGGCAGCCGATCGTCTCGTCCGATTATCCGCCACGTGTCCTACCTTCGTCCCCTTCCTTCTTCCCCATCCTTGCCTCCATCTGACTCCTTCTCCGCTACGGAAGAGGACGACGACTGCTTATCGCCTGTCTCTCCGTCTCCTTCTCGTTCTCTTCCTGTTACTCCGTACCCGTCGTCATCGCCATGAGTTTTCTTACAGAGCGAGCTCTCGGCGTTCCTCTACTGGTGCCACGGTGTTACATCTCGGCGATCCGACAAGTTCATCACCCGCGGCTCAACCCGGACCTTCGGCGACTTGCGCAATTCTTCTGTATCCAGGGAGTGTACGCAGCCGCTAAGTTTCGGTTTGCATGCAGTCCCCGGGCGGTTGTGTTGGCGGAGGCGGTAGCAGTTCATAGGCGATCAGCTCCTGAAATCAGCCACGTGTCTACGGTGGTCGCCTTCAGTGGCAACATCAGCACCATCAGCCCGCTGCGGCATACGTCTATCAAGACAGCTGTGGGCGCAGCAGTTGGCGTCAGAGTGGAATCGCTGGCTCACGCCCCACGGTGATAATCTTTTCCCCACGGACGGCGTCGACCTCGACGGGATCTGAGCTTTCCAGCACGAGCCGGCGGTGGTGCTCCCTGAACTCATCCCCTTCCCCTGTCCTCAATGAACCCATCCCCAATCTCCACTTTCGACCTCCCCTCCTTCTTTCCCACCTTTTGGCAGTTCGGAGTCCATCCGCACCTCTCCTTTTGTCTGGATTCACTCGCTGTCCCCCTCCTCGATCCCCAGTAGTGGAGGCGTTGGCGAGAGCACTTCGTAGAGCTGTCAAGGTGTCTGGTCGGAGTAAGAGTCACGTGGACGCGGCACGAGGATCACCGCCAGTGGGCTGAGTACCTTGAGTTGCTTATCATCCAGGCGTGGCGAACGGGAGTGGAGGGAGATCTACTCGGATTCCTCTTCGGATCGGTGCGGCCCGATTATCGCCAATTGATCGTGCAGGAGCTAACGGTCCCCCTTGCGCAGCTGGCCGACGATCTCCCACTTGAGATCGTCTCGCAGAGCGACGACAACCCAGTCCTGCACGTTCTCACGCGGACCTTGGCGCCATATCTTCAGTGGTCGGCGTGCTTGGAGGAACCGGGAAGCGGCCGCAACCCACCATCACAGCGCGGTTATCTGGACCCGCACGAGATAGTCGATCTCGCCTTCTTTCAAGATCGGACGGCTTCCGAGAACGAGGAGGTAGAGATTGAAGCGGAAGAAGAAAGCTCGAAAGAAGAAGAAGAAGCCGAAGAAGAGGCCGACGAGGAAGAAACTCCCGAAGAGGGGAGTTACAGTGAGCATAGCGAAGGGGAGCAAAGTGAGGAGGAGGAGGAAGAAGAACAAGGCGACGACGAAGAAGAAGAAAATCAGGAGGAGCTGGAAGAGTCGGAGTGGGAAGAATTCGAGGAGGAAGTGCGTGACGAGGCTCGGGCGCAGGCCCAGGCGCAGAAGAGGGAAGAGATCGCGATTGGGAAGCGACAGTTGGAATTCGCCAGCGTAGTTGGTAAGCCACGCACCGACGATCCGGCCCGAGATCCGGAGCCACCTAAGCCCGAGGATGGGGACCCAGCTGCTGAGACTTTGGTCGCACCGGCAAGACGGCGACGAAGCCGATCCTCCTCCCCCTCCGCACCCGATCGCCCACCAACTCGTCCACGTACCGATGCGGGGAATCGGGCTTTGTCCCCGGTCATTATCCCGCCGTCCCCTTGACCACCTCTCTTTCCGCCAAATTACCACTCGCGTCACCTTCCTCGACAATCCCTTCCCCATCGATACCTTTCGCTTTTTCTACACTACCCGCCTCGCTGCCACTGTTCATCCCCACCCTTCCACCCGATGCGCCCTCCCTGTCTTCTGCCTCCATATCCTTTTCCTTAGTGCCGCGTGGCGAGGCCACAATATGATCGAGGTATACTGCATGATTACGGGGACTATCCCCGCATGCGAGAACCACGATCACTTCCACGCGGCCCTTTTCCGAACCTTAACCACCCTCTACCCCGATTACCTCGCATCCCTCCCTCACACTGGCAACCGATTCCCCCGCTTTCACCGGATCGTTCGCTATCAGGAACTCTCGGATACGGTGGCCGGAATGGAGAGCTTCCTTCCCCCGCTACCTATCAACCCTCCCCCTCGCCATCCCTCCATGTACCGTCTCCCTTTTCCCCTCCCCGACGCTCACTGATGTAGGACTGATGGGCACGCGTCATGACAACGACACGTGTAATCCCCTCCTTGGATTGTCAATGGCCCTCCCTGAGGAATTAGTAGTAGAGCTGTGTTGCCACGTTGGACGACGTCCACGCTCATTCGAACGGTAAGTGGCATGGAGAGAAGAGCTCCACATGTCGATCGATTAGAGAAATCGACACGTTGTGAGGAAACCCGGGGAGGGGTCACCTACCGTTCGCTGAAGCCAAGGGCAACGGCGCCTGTCACTCGCCGCGCCCGCTTCCGAGGTCCTCAACGACCGATAGGGTATGTGGGGCGGATATGCCTGTCCGCCCCCACTGTGAGGAGGAGGTTTATATGCTCTTCTTGCGGCGCAACAAATTGCGAAAATTATTCACCCTATCAAACATTCCGTTTGGATCCACAGGTCTACGAGAAAGGATCAATTCTCAAGGATATCAAATTCGGCTCCCAATCACTGGGCACTAGATTTTGCCACTAAGAACAGAGACAGGGTGTTATCATGACCTGCGATGTTCCCGGACACACAACTCCATATTTTCTGGACTTTCAAACTTGTGACGAAAGGGAGAATCAATGAGCAGCCATGGCATCAGCCCCCGCACTGGTGGTTTCAGAACCGGTTTATGGATCAAAGTCCCGCAATGCAACCCCCCCTGATGGGATGCTTGATCTGGGAAATAGGGACACTTCTGATACCTGATTGGTCGATCTGACTAAGTTTACAATGAATCAAGATCGCAGAAGATAATCAAGGTGGTCGTGGGTAATTGAACAGCTGAACTCTGCATGATTAACATAACTGCATACGGGATTTTTCTTCACCTCAAATCACCGGGTGGTTCCGAAATCTGTGTCTGCAAAATGGCCTGGCATTACGCCCATTTGTTTTCGTAATCAAGGTCGCTACGGTCACTGCATGGTTTTTCAAGGCCCCCTTATGGAACTGGTGTCTGATCTTCCATTGAGGGCGTCTTTTAAGAGTAATGACCGCTGGTGCGGCTGCACGAAGTGTGATGGAGGGAAAACCAACTTGCATTTTACACAGTTGTTCCGACGTTCCCTTCAAAGAGTAATGCTGCTCTTGCCGTTATTCCCTTCTCACAACTTTCTCTTGGTCTGTGTACCCAGCCCATATCAGCCCCTGTTACGTTCATACTGTCATCACACCGTATTCGTGGAAGCTTTCAGTTCGAGCGCTTCAATCGGAGACTGCTACTTCTAGATAATTCTTGAGTCAGCTCATCCAACAGACCCGTGCCCCGTTGGCTCAGCTACAAGGAAAACATGAGATTCAACATCAATATTGGAAAACAGAAAATTCTTCTCTTTTCCTCTCTCTCTCTCTGCCTGCGCACTCCCTCTCTCTCTCTCTCTGCCTGCGCACTCCCTCTCTCTCTCTCTCTTTGCCTGCGCACTCCCTCTCTCTCTCTCTCTGCCTGCGAGCTCCCTCTCTCTCTCTCTCTGCCTGCGCGCTCCCTCTCTCTCTCTCTCTATGTTCGCACATGGATTCGTCTGCCAGCCAGTTCGCTCAGTCATCAAACAAGAARAAGAGAATAAATCATCAGCGAGGGGGTCCCCAGATACACCGCCATACTCTTGAAAAGACTTGAATATCCCGCGGACCAAATGTCGTGGTGAACACCCAGTTGGGTAGATTAAATGAGCATGCCAGTGCATCTGTGATCGAGCCTAGAGCAGGACTGCAGGCTGCAACACGTTTGTGATTGAGTGCTTTAGCATAGATGCCAACAAGATATAATAAAAATTATCCTTTTGCCCGAACTCAGTCAGATTCAGTATGTTTCAAAATCTTTGCCCGTTTTCTCACCAATAAGGCTATGAGAACGACAAAGTTGCAGAAACTTGGGGGGATACACGGTCATGCTCTTGATTTGCTGTGCGCTGAGGCAATGCCCGCATACTCACCATAGGGTAGAGAGAATGAATCTGCTACTTAACCATGGAAAAGTATGTCCGTGTATTCTCAGACTCTTATGTGTCGCAGACTCGAATCTATCAGCAAGCCTGTGATTCTGCAAGTAGGAGGGATGGTGATTCCCCTGCTGGCAGTTGAATGGAAAACCTAAAATGTCACGTTACCAATTAAATTAATAATAGAGGGAAATCTTCCAGGTTGCAGAGCCCTTGAGTCGTATCATAAGGAATGAGAGGGTTATTCGTCGGATCTGACGAAGCTGATCCTCCTCTCGAACCCTCTGCTGTCCACAGATGAATGTGTTTATGGCCGTGCTGGGATCTCAATTTATTTACGAACCAAGCTCTGAGAACCGTTCAGATTCACGCACAAACGTGATCTCAATGTGTCAATGAACCAGACATCGAAAACAGCCCAGTTTCAAGTGGTATTTTGAATTATTCAAGTTTCCATACATGATCACCCTGCTTTCTCTCTCTCTTATTCGCGCCCTCTCGCTCTCTCCCACGCGATCACTTTTTCTCCCTATGTGAGATCTCTCTCTCTCTCACCTACATGATCGCGACCCATTACCAGATTACTGTGCGCGTAGCCTTGCACAGGCTCAATGTACGTGCCCGCTGTTAGGGCCTGTCACCCAGGTGCAGCGAATTGGAAATTAAAAAACTTGGCATATTGAGCTGTTGGGGCCAGGTCACTCCTTTATCACTCATACTCCCGATCCGTATAGGAACGGATCCAGAAGTGTTTAGTCGTGTTTGCGGCCAGAGGAATCAAACTCAAATACAAAATGGCAGATCGTCTTCATTGCACGTGTGCCCACTCTTCATTCTCTCCCTCTCTCTACCTAACTCTCTATACCCCTCTCTCACTCTCTTTCTCAGTCTCTCTCTTCCACACGCTCTCTTTTTCTCTGCACTCTCTTTTTCCCTCTTCTTCTCTCGCTCTCTCAGGAATGTATCCACTCACTCTCTCGCTCCCTCTTACTCTCTTTCCCTCTCACTAGCAGCGCACTCTCTCTCACTAGCAGTGCGCTCTCACTCACTCCATCGCTCCCGCCTGCTGATTCCTTTAGGGTTGCTCAAAGCTGAACGTACCTGGAGGCTTTCTCAGTCAGTTGCACCCAAGTAGAGAAGCTTACCCACTGGCTCTCGTTTTGTCTCACCTTTCCTTTCTTGTGCACAGTYCAATCTAGCGCAAGCCCACCTGGAACCGCCCGCGACTGATCAAGCATAATCCATACAACCACGTGCTGGCTGCTATGGCCATCAACAAACGAATGCGAACAAATACTTTTAGCTTGCACGGGCGAACAGTCACCAGCAGATCAGTCTTAAGAGCTGCAGATATCCGGTCAGCTGTTTCAAAACCCTCGGACGTCTGGTACATGGTCTCTAGCATTCCTTTGTCTACTGCTGCTACCACATTCTTCAGTGTGGGCAGTATACGCCATGTTCCCTTTCAACTCTCCCATGCTTGCTTCCCTACCTCTCTTCCCCGAAACTTTTGATGTCACCCACAAGATCTCCATCTTCGTCCATTATCATCTCTCGCTGCATCCTCCCTGAGAGTGAAGGGGCACAAGTCAGAGTTTGCCCCTGAGCAGCAAGTCACACCCGAACGCTGCGAACGCCGGGCACGCAATGAAGAACTCCCCTGTCCGAATCCCCCTCTTCACTCTGCTGGCCCTTCCCTATATCTGCCCCGGTGGCCTCTAGCCCGACTACCAGTAAGTCTGCGGAATCTCCAGCGCCCAGCTCGAAACGGAACGCTGGTCCCATCAGTGCCCTTGGTACCAGGCCCTCAGATTAGGATTATTTTTGCATCAGTGGCAGCGGCCCCGTCTGTTGGTACCGAGGGTTTAAGTCCAGTAATCCTGGATCAGTGGACCAAGATGAGCGTGACTTCTAGCCGAGGAAGTTGTTCCAAGCCCTTAAGCCAGACCAAAACACCGTACCATGGAATATCAGCGTCCATTTGCAGTAAAGCGAACCAGTTCCAGAGCAGCAACCGCACCAAAAATAATATCACCGAACTGCTCTGAAGTATACACATGGCAAACCAGTAGCTATACCGAAATAATAGCACCATACTACAGTCGAACCAACCGTAGGGCCAAAAAACGTACCAAAAATAATGGCATCGAACTGGAGTGAG